CATACCAATGCGCAAAGAAGTGACGCAAACTTGATGCAAATTTTGGCTCGTTATTTGCACTCGAATTTGAGATATAGGCCTCCAAAGTTCGGAACGTTTTTTTTTGGACCACCCGGTATATGATCATTTGAGGTGCCTTGAGGTGCTATTAGTCAAAATTGCTAGTAAAAATCGCTAATTTTAATAGATTTAAGGGATCTTCAGTGGCCTAGGCTCCGCACCGATATCGACATCCTTTTGAAATAGTGACGTCCTGGCGGCTTCAATCACACTCTCCGAAAAATCAATTTCAGGACACTGTGATGAACGGGTTTATCGAAACTTGATTGGATGAGCCTATCGGTAATAGCGATTTTAGTGTGTGCATTTATTGTTCATAGTGGTGTGAAATGTGGTTGGGGTACGACCGACAACCCGTCGGGGCGAATTTCGCACTGGGGTACTCAAAATTTGAAGAATTTAAGACGTTTCCATAAGTTTTGAAGGTATGGATAAGTTCTAAAAATCCGGTTCTCCTTATCCGGGTCATTAACTCCATATGGTCCAGGAAAGCTGGCACACTACCTTTAAGTGCGTAGCACTTTTGCGCCAATTGCTTATGTAATTTATGAATTTTATGTTGTTGCAGTGTGAATAAATGCTCTCTCTCTCTCTCTCTCTCTCTCTCTCTCTCTCTCTCTCTCTCTCTCTCTCTCTCTCTCTCTCTCTCTCTCTCTCTCTCTCTCTCTCTCTCTCTCTCTCTCTCTCTCTCTCTCTCTCTCTCTCTCTCTCTCTCTCTCTCTCTCTCTCTCTCTCTCTCTCTCTCTCTCTCTCTCTCTCTCTCTCTCTCTCTCTCTCTCTCTCTCTCTCTCTCTCTCTCTCTCTCTCTCTCTCTCTCTCTCTCTCTCTCTCTCTCTCTCTCTCTCTCTCTCTCTCTCTCTCTCTCTCTCTCTCTCTCTCTCTCTCTCTCTCTCTCTCTCTCTCTCTCTCTCTCTCTCTCTCTCTCTCTCTCTCTCTCTCTCTCTCTCTCTCTCTCTCTCTCTCTCTCTCTCTCTCTCTCTCTCTCTCTCTCTCTCTCTCTCTCTCTCTCTCTCTCTCTCTCTCTCTCTCTCTCTCTCTCTCTCTCTCTCTCTCTCTCTCTCTCTCTCTCTCTCTCCTCTCTCTCTCTCTCTCTCTCTCTCTCTCTCTCTCTCTCTCTCTCTCATGTTCAAAAAATCGCATAAAATCACAGAATAGACATACAGACATGCCGTAAACGCCATTTGACTGCCAATACCATGAACAATCAAATGGCTATCTTCGATTTTTGATTACCGTTCCGCATTTTCCAAAATCTTGAACCGAATCTTGGCAATTTCTTTTGACTACTTCACGACCATGATACATGCATTTCTTTAAATGAAATTTTTGAACCAAACACGTACACATGATAAAATGAATGTCACTATCGTGTTCTACGCCCAAAATTACCCATAAAACATGTGTCACAGGCTGCGAGTGTCAGTTATGATTTTCGGGGATATGTGCCTACCCGGTTGACCTGACCTTGACCCTGACCTATGCTTGACTGACCCCTACATGGATCTGACACTCTTGTAGGCCTTATATGAAGGATTGTGCACCGTTTTGACAGAGTTTATGACGAGAGGCGCCCATTGCGAAGCCCTGAGGGGGGTATTGCGGGGTTATAGACCTCCAGACGCTGACCAGGATGCGATTGGTACTCCAGAAACAGTTTTAGGACGCAGAATGATTCTCGAAGAAGATCTGGAAGGAATCTCAGCATTCTAGCTTAACTCAAACCTCAAGTATGAACATATTTTCGGAGGAGAAAATGGCATCCGGGAGGTCGTAGGCCCATCTTCAAGCGAGACTCCGCATCGGTGAACAGGTCAAGGAAAGCTCAAAAGCGGTGCCAGGAGAGTGTGACAGGCATCTGTCGCAAGATCACATGCCAGGCAACTCATGGGATCAAAATTTCATGAAAATACGTTGGGTATACTAGGGACGTTCCAAAAGTAATGCCTCCTATTTTTTAACTCAAAAAGTTGATGAGATTGGAAGATGGGGTGGCGTCATTAAAACGAACATACTTTTTTTTTGTTCTACGTTTATTTTTCTACGTAGTCACCACTACTCTCAATGCACTTTTGCCAGCAATGAACGAGAGCCTTGATGGCTGGCTCGTAAAAGTCGGCGCCCGCCGAGGTGGTTCTTTTCTTCACGGCGGCAATGACGGCGTCGTTGTCTGGGAAGCGCTGCCCACGTAAGCCGTCCTTCAGAGGCGCGAACAAGTGGAAGTCGGACGGTGCCAGTTCAGGACTATAAGGAGGGTGTGGCAGCATGTCCAGCCGAACTTTGCCACACATTCTGTGGTCTTCAGACTCGTGTGTGGCCTAGCGTTGTCATGTTGCAAACAGAATGTTTCTCTTCTTTTCTGGCCTTCCTCGGGCTATCCGGGCCTTCAGTTTTGTCAACGTTTCAACGTAACGGTCAGAGTTTACAGTCGCTCCTGATTCCAGGAAATCCAAGAGGATGACACATTGCCTGTCCCAGAAGACGGTGCACATCACTTTGCCTGCTGGCGCCCGGTGCGCGGACGTCCGGAGCGTGCTTTGTCTTTGACATCACTTTCACCGCTCTCAAAGCGACGGACCCATCTGCTAACTGTGCTCGTATCCACCGCGTCTGCTCTATAGACCTTCTGCAAACGTCGGTGAATGTTGATGGGTGCATTCCCTTCCCTGTGAAGGAATTCAATGACGCATCTCTGCTTCTGACGAGTTTCCATGACAAACTTCGTTTACCAAGACGTCACGCGGTAAATAGCTGTGATATAGAAATGAAAATTTACAGACATGCGAGTTAAGGTTAAGTCATGATACGGTGCAAATTTCAACGCCCTCCGATCATTTGGGGCGGAGTTAAAAAATAGGAGGCATTACTTTTGGAACGACCCTCGTACCTACTGAAATCGTGGCTCGTGGAAGCGAAGCGCCGTTCCAGCCTCCAGGAGCTCACGGCGAATGTTAAGTCAGTATTGGCTAGCTTCAAGCCTGCTACGCTGCGAAATATGCCGGTTGGCATGCTGCAGCATGTATTCATGTGTTTGCCCATGAAATGAGGAGCACATTGACGTGTCATAAATATATCAAAACGCAATGCACTCTGTTTTACATGCAAATTTAATGTGAAAACGAACTTATGGTACACCCTGTAATCGTTGATGTTGGGTGTGAAAATTTAGGACCCCCAGTGGGGCGCGGATTCAGCCTGCTGAAATAAGATTCCCTGTGTCATGGATAGAGATGTCAATCGGATACCAACTTTTTGGTATACCGATACCAAACCGATACCAACTCGGTATTTGTTATTTCATCATCATCATCATCATTTATTTCTTAAAGCTTTCCACACTGCGCGGCTTTTCTAGCTTTGTGTCATTGTTACAGGATCATACACTCATTAAAACATCGACTACAAATCTAATCTAATAAAAACAAAAGACATACATAATACACCTATTACATAGCTAAAAACAAGCTTGCGTTAACCATGGCTCCATATCCCCTGTCTACCTATCGTCTAGTTCGAGGCGCCATTTCCTAGTTCTCTTACGGCAAAGTGCAGTGCTTGTTGTTTCTTTTACTGCGGCTGGAGCCTCGTTCCATAGAGATACTGCCCGGAAATTGAAATAGCGGCGGGCGTGCTCCGTGCGCACCCTCGGCAGCTGCAACTGGCCAGCCTCGGTTGCTCGGGTACTGCGCACTGATACTCTCTCACGGAGTACCACATTCTCTCGCAAACTGACAGGCGCGTGCTGGTTTGTCATCAGCCAGTGCAGCATTCCCATGTCTCGCTCCGCGATCAGGTCATTGATGCTCGGCCACTCTAATTCGCGTAGCAACGGGGTCACATGAGTGGATCGACGAACACCCTTTACAATTTGTGCACAGTGGTTCAAAACTTTTTGCAAACGCCGTTTTTGACCTTTCCCGCAACCTGCCCAGACGGTCATACAATAAGTCAGATGGGGGATGACAAGAGTTTCCACTAACATTTTCTTGACACTGTCTGGCAACGATCGGGAAAACTTGGCGAGACCACCTATCGTCGCGTAGCAACGTTTAATGACTGTTGAAATGTGGGCTTCAAAAGTAAGGTTGTTATCCACTACCATTCCCAAAACCTTCGTTGACAAAGAAGGTTCAATTCTTACGTTCCCAATTTTTAGTACAAATGGGTAATTTACATTCCTTCTGCTAGATTTAATTAGTACGAGATCCGTTTTCGTGGGATTCATTTTGAGGCTGTTGGCTATGAACCACCACTGAGCAGAATTGAAAGTGTTCTCTACCCTATTCTCGAGCTCAGACACTTGCTGCATTTCACCTCTATGACCGAATAGCACGTCATCTGCGTAAATTACAAGTTTACAGTCATCTACATAACACGGCAAATCGTTACTAAAAATTGTGAAAAGAACGGGTCCGAGCAAAGACCCCTGTACCACGCCATGGGTGATGGGTAGTAAATTTTTGCCCCCCTTTACCCTCTGACTTCTCCCTTCTAACCAATCTTCTAACTAACCTTCTACTAACCTTCTGCTACTACTAACCTTCTAACCTTCTAACCAAAATCAAAGTCCCGATGCACTGGGTGGCCTATAGTCCCGATATTTCAATCCTAATGTGTTTGGTATTTTGTTGGTATAATGAACCCTCGCTAATGTTTAAGAGGCTAACAAATAGGTAAAAAGTTGGTATTTTCCTCGTGCTCCCAAGTTGGTTTGGTTTCGGTGTTCTCCAAGGTTTTGGTTGGTATTTGGTTTGGTATCGGTATTCCGATTTTCCGTAATTGACATCACTAGTCATGTACTCATGTAGTAGATTACGTTCTTGGATAGACTGTACCACCGTTTTTGTTTACCAATACCCAGTTGCGGGCAGGACACCAGACGCTAAGCTGCCGACCCGTGCCCAAGGCGATCATGAAGGAATAATCACTGGCTCTATTTACAGATTTTGAAACTACTTTCAAGTTACCGCTGCTGAAATGTGGATGAAGAGGCCTCAGCTGAAACAGATTCTGAATCTACAAAAAAGTCTGAAAACATTTTTCTCTAGCGATGCCCCATTACCAAAACCAAACCTCAACTACCCAGGAGGATCAAACAAAATTGGTGCTTATGGATACTTCTTGCTCGTAAGTATGCAATTGGTTATACGCTTTGGCAGTAGAACGTCAGACAATATTATTGTCACTTGCACGGGCCGATCACTAGGCTATTACCGTCATCTAGGAGGGCGGCTCAATATATTCCTGCCCGGGGCCGGGATGATTCAATAAATGTCACCGAGGTTTTTTAGCGAAAACTCCGAGGGCGTCAGGCCCGAGGTGATTTTGCTAAAAAAGCGAGGCGACATTTATTGAATTCCGGCCTTAGGGCTGGAAGGTGTTTCCCATACCTGCCAAAAAGCTCACAACTATATGATAGTGACGTCAGCAGCCGTGTGGTTCAACGTGTTTAACCACACCCCTTGAACCACACGGCTTGTAATATTAAAGCATTTGCATTAAACGCATTAAACTTTGTAAAGTGTGGTACAGTGCACGTGCCGTTTAAATGCATGGATGTCTCGATTTAATCATGCAATGTAGCAGACCGTATGGGAAAAACTCCATCTATATTACTATTTATTGAGTAGTAATAGACAAATATATATTGAGACGGGTTACACAGCACAGTGGGTGGACGCGTTTCGTCTAAATGACTTTTTCGACACCCTCTCGGAAATTAAAACAATACAAACACACAAGAATAAAACTAGCACAGCAGTCTCACACTCAGTTGAAATACAGCATGCTTAGAATGCGCATTACTACAAATGATTCGATAAAAACTATTTGTCGGTACACAGCTACTGCTACATAATCATCGACGAGAATACAAAAATAGCACACTTATAACGACTCCAAGGTCAGTTTTTTTTTTTCAAGTCAAATTTTTAACGCTGAACACTGCTGCTGATTTTGCCCACTTAATAAACCCTACCTGGTATTAATCGTATCGTTCGTTGCAATAAATGCCGCTTCGGTCGCTTTCCGACATCCCTTGCTCCCACAATTCGCTAATACTTTCGCCCCGTCCCAATTTGGTAAATGACTAGTGGAATGTGCGTGAACAACAAAGGCACTGTGGTCGGCGTCGTTTCGTATGTCTCGCTTGTGCTCTTTTAAGCGTGTTTGGATTCCCCTACCAGTTTCTCCAATATAAGATTTGTCGCAGTTACCACATGGTACATACCTGATAAACTACGCTAAGTTCTCTATTTCTAGTAGTTTTCTTTTGAGTTAACTCACCTATCTTCTTTCCAGTGGTCAGTGCCACCTTGAAGCCTGTCGTTTCGAGTTTCTGGGTGATACTTTCGGCTACTTTTGAGTTCGGTATTGAAATAAATCGTGTGTCTTTCTTTCGAACTGTTTCGTTCCTCGTTTTGTTTCGAATGTCTAAAGCCTTCTTTTCCAAACGAATGAGAAGACCCTTTGCGTACTTCAGCTTCATGAAAGATGAAAAGATATGCCGGATTTCGTCATCGAGATATTCTTCGCTGCATATCCGGAAAGCCCTTAACCTGCGCCGGGCCGGGGGGGGGGGGGTGTTTGAACAAGGAACACCCCCTTGCGGTTTTTCGCAGATATCTCAAAAACGTTTTTGGCACACCTGTTTGTGCATCTTTTCCGCACATGTTGTGAAAATTTCAAACCCAGGTCACCTTAGGTCAGGTCACCAGGTCACGCCAAGTGACCTCACCTCAGAAAAATAAGAATGCTCGCCATAGCTACACCGACTGAACGATTGCCTTGAAACTTTCAGCGATTGATAAGAGCAACACTATCTATAAAATGTATTTCTCGGAATTTTGATATCGGTGACCTAAGGTCAGGTCAATTTTGCGGCCTCTCCATTATAAGTCAATGGGACAAAATTGAAAAGCGTCTGTTTTGCACGAACGCTATTCTAGACACTTTCAAACATCGAGATGTAGGTAAAATTGACACACTGAACCGGAAAATGGCAACTGTGACCCCTCGTTATGTCCCCGAGGTCATCTCAAGTCACGAACAGAATCTAACAGTTTTTCGCTAATAACTCTTGATAGAGGCGTGCTAGAGCGCTGAAAAAGCCTTAGATGTGTTCGGCTCGACGTTGCGGATCGAATGATATGCAACATGACCTTTCCCGGTCAGGTCATGACCTTGACCTGAGGCCAAATTTTTAAGTTGACCCTTCAAGGTCAACTTATAGTTAATTCGACGCGTCTCGACGAGAGGAACACGATGCTGGCGAAAGTAATGTCATGGCGCTCATGAGTCAAAAGTTATTGCCGAAAAACGCTTTTCGTAAAAACGGCTATTTTTTAGTTTTTGCCCTCTGGAGGCTAAACCGTTGACCTGAGGTCAAATCTGAGAATACTACTCAGAAAGGTCTGTAAAAGGGCTATCGAATGCGCTTTTCTGCGGCGCTGTAGCTCTATCGGTTCCCGAGATAGCCGTTGGCAGTTTCCAAAATGTTGAAATAGTCAACATTTTACCTTTGGTGACCTCTGGTGACCTGACCTTTGACCTTACCTAAAAAATGACCGAAGTGTTTTCGTCCTTATTTTGGACGTTCTTTCGATTGCCGCTTACCGCGTGTCGCTACGTGGCCCAGGAGCCGAGTTAGAAGGGGGTGTTCAGACACCCCCGCGGCCCGGCGCGGAATCTCAGAGCACCGGCCCGGCGCGGGTTAAAAAGAACCCCAAGACTATCCCACTTTTGACCCTCTCGCTATTGCCTGAAAAATAATGAACGTAGTCTTCCTTCTTTGTAGGTTTACGATACACTTTGAATACACTTATTATTTATCAGGCCATAGCGAGAGGGTCAAAAGTGGGATAGTCTTGGGGTTCTTTTTAAGGGCTTTCCGGATATGCAGCGAAGAATATCTCGATGACGAAATCCGGCATATCTTTTCATCTTTCATGAAGCTGAAGTACCCAAAGGGTCTTCTCATTCGTTTGAAAAAGAAGGCTTTAGACATTCGAAACAAAACGAGGAACGAAACAGCTCGAAAGAAAGACACGATTTATTTCAATACCGAACTTAAAAGTAGCCGAAAGTATCACCCAGAAACTCGAAACGACAGGCTTCAAGGTGGCACTGACCACTGGAAAGAAGATAGGTGAGTTAACTCAAAAGAAAACTACTAGAAATAGAGAACTTAACGTAGTTTATCAGGTACCATGTGGTAACTGCGACAAATCTTATATTGGAGAAACTGGTAGGGGAATCCAAACACGCTTAAAAGAGCACAAGCCAGACATACGAAACGACGCCGACCACAGTGCCTTTGTTGTTCACGCACATTCCACTAGTCATTTACCAAATTGGGACGGGGCGAAAGTGTTTGCGAATTGTGGGAGCAAGGGATGTCGGAAAGCGACCGAAGCGGCATTTATTGCAACGAACGATACGATTAATACCAGGTAGGGTTTATTAAGTGGGCAAAATCAGCAGCAGTGCTCAGCGTTAAAAATTTGACTTGAAAAAAATGACCTTCGAGTCGTTATAAGTGTGCTATTTTTCTATTCTCGTCGATGATTATGTAACAGTAGCTGTGTACCGACAAATAGTTTTTATCGAAGGTAATCATTTGTAGTAATGCGCATTCTAAGCATGCTGTATTTCAACTGAGTGTGAGACTGCTGTGCTAGTTTTATTCTTGTGTGTTTGTATCGTTTTAATTTCCGAGAGGGTGTCGAAAAAGTCATTTAGACGAAACGCGTCCACCCAATGTGCTGTGTAACCCGTCTCAATCTACTATCTACTATAATATTACTATTTGTGGTGACGTAGTTTCTGTCTGTTACCGAGGTCGCGACATGGTGCTACGTAGCGCGGGTTACAGGTCACACCGTTGCACCCAGCGCGCTGAAATTTGTGCAACTTATAGAACAAGGATTGACACCGTGCCTTTGAGGGGTCTCAGCTCGATCGGATTGATAGCGAGCGCGTGGCGCGGGTCCAAAAAGTGCAAATTCGCGTCATAGACTTTGCATGTATAAATTAGCTTGCAAAATCGGACGAAAATGGCTAAATTTGCCCGACACGGGTCCGGTCCCTGTGCAATATCTCGGTAATCGTGGGCCCGATCGGCACGGGGAAAACAGCATCGTGTAGAGAATCGAACGGGCTATCGAATGGTGTGCGGTGCAGGGGTTGGCACGCGCCACGTGCACCCGTGAGGGCACTTTCTTTTGAAAAATGGACGTTTCGGACGGATTTTGGATTTTGTTTTATTTTCACGCGACCTTCAGACTGAGCGAGTTAAAACAACGCCTATTGGCAAGATAAATGTACCGCCTCTCATGGGAAAATTGTGAAAAGCTAATTGATCAAAAATAAGGTCAGAGTCAGAGTCAGAGTCATTTATTAGAATTCTCCACATGGTGGGTTTTACGAATTCAGTCATTGTACACTGGTAAAAGCATGGTTAAAAATGAGACACATTGCAAGACCTAAAACATTCGGTTTAAGACACAGCGCTGGTGATTCACTTAGACCTCTCCGGTGCTATCTAGTCTACCTGCGTGTTAATTGGGCGTTCCAGGCGGATGCAGCCCTATAAGTGAAGCTCCGCTGGGTTCTCACTAGTCGGCATCTGGGAAGATCCAGGGTGCCGGCGGCTGCTGCTCGAGAGTTGCGCAGTGAGGCATCGGCTCTCCGAGTGAACATTGCGGTTATGGCAGGCGGACATTTACCGTTCACTGCTCGCGCCACTAGGGCACGGTCGTGCGTGCGTACCATGTCGTCCACTCTGTGCCAGCCTAGTGCCGCAAGTGTGGGAGGGATGTGGAATAAGGTGGAATAAATCGCTAAAGAAAATGACATTTGTCCATAACGTGCCACTAAAAAAATACACGGGGTTTGCTGCTTTAACTTATACGTTTGACAATTGAAAATGCTATCATTAGAAAGAACATTCAATTCACTCCAAGATCCATTCATCACATTTGCATGACGAGCAACAGTATTCTTAAAAATATTAATGTTTCAAACCTCTGCAAAACCATTTTTATCGAAAATTATCTACGCCTTGCATTTGTCATAAAACTACGCACCTAAATTATAAAACACATTTGACAGGTACCTATTGAAGTAGA